AATGCAAATATCCCATGAAACAGTTGATTATAGTGCAACTATCCCACGAAACAGTTGATTACAATGCAAATATCCCATGAAACAGTTGATTATAGTGCAACTATCCCACGAAACAGTTGATTACAATGCAACTATCCCATGAAACAGTTGATTATACTGCAACTATCCCACGAAATAGTTGATTACAATGCAAATATCCCATGAAACAGTTGATAACAATGCAAATATCCCATGAAAAAGTTTATTACAATGCAAATATCACATGAAACAGTTGATTACAATGCAAATATCCCATGAAACAGTTGATTACAATGCAACTATCCCATGAAACAGTTGATTTTCCTTCTTAACAACGTGTCCTGCTACAGATAGCAGCATATATTGTTGAGTTAGCACACGACCTCAACTTGATTTAGCATTTTCGAATCAGAATTCTAGAAAATTAAAACAATTTGTATGATATGAAATAAATGCCATAGAGGTAGAGTACATATCTTTTTCTACCGTAGTATAATTGGCTAAAGTATTTGATAAAAACAATAAATCATTCCAATTATTTGTTTTACTTCGAACTAAAATAAGGACATGAATAACAAACAGCTTTAAAAAATATATTTAGTAGCTCATGTTATTCTAGTATATGGAACTTCAGTATTAAATTGTTGGTATTTTCTAATCTCAAAACTTCATTGGTAATATAAAGCATTTAACTTTTCACTCCTACATAACCATGTTATACAATAACACATATAAAATTTGAAAAAAATAAAATGTTTCATATATAAGTAGATTCTTATATATCTTTATTGAGATTTGAAACACCTTCTTTTGGGCAAAAACAAGCGTTTTAACCTGACATATAACAAACGCCAACTCAGCAGTATTGTTACATTCAAAACTACAACTTAATGAAGTATCAGGCCAGCTAAATAGATGATAAAAATAGTTAACAATTAAAATTCAATGAAAATACAACAATACGTTTTATTTTCCTTAAGTAACCAAGTGTTTGATCATGTTGAAGATGAGTTAAGATTATGACTTGTACTTAGAAACTTTAGAATCTACGTTTGTTTAAGTGTGCAAGTCAACCAACAAAATATTTTTACAAACTTAATTAATCCTTTGGTTGCATTTCATTTTTACTGTTAGTGATAGATTCGTCCATAATCCCAACAATATCCGAGGTTCTGCCAGTTTAAGAGATTTAGGACTAGCCTAACAATACAAAATAATACTCATAATGAAGTATATATATCAAACAATCTAATTAATGCTATTAATTAAACTAACATTAAAGTCGGAATAGATTAAATCATATTTATAAAACACATTAAGACTAATGGTTGGTTCATGCACTGTAGCCGATTCTTTGACACTTCAAATTCGTAACACCATTAACAATGTCTAGTGACCAATGAAAGCCTGAAAGCTCATTGAACTAATCAAAGTAGCTTAACATCTGAGGTATATTACTATGATACATATTACTATATAATTTTAAATAGGTATAGCAAATAGGTATTTATTAGTTATTTACCACTCATAAGTACATAATTTCTTGTTCGAAATACCATGACATAATAGATCGGAAAATGACCAACATTATGCTATAATATTCAAATAAATTATCTTGATGTAGCTTGAAGTAAAGAACAGAACGTAGATCTCTCGAGTGTTGCTTCGCCAAATAGCTCGTAAAATAAACTTGTATTTTTTACTGCTGAAACTTTAAAAAAATTTAGCTGAGAAATGTTTCCAAACTATTAAAATTCATAAGTTTATAAATTCAGAACAAATAATCCCACCCGTCTTCTTTGAATGTTTCAGTCGTGTACATATTTGGATGTTGGGAAGTTAACATTACCCAAAACTTCCAAAGCTTTCAGGTTTATTACGAATCATGCCTTTTATTCGATAACTTTGTGCTGATACTGTTTTGAAATTGTGTTAAATAAAAATACAGCTGAGCACAGATAAAAATTTCAGAAGAAATTATTTTACTCTACCTACGCCCCCAAAAGTGTTAAATGTGTCATTTGTTTTGACTGAAGAATCATTGTAATGTTTGTTATCCTTACAATACAAATTCGTTACAGTACTAAAATTGCATACAGTTTTGGGTTTACACTAACAAATCGCCATGATTGAGCAAGAGTTTTTTTTTCCCCCTCAAACCTAGCACACATTATTTTCATCACTCTTAGCAGGCTTTTTGATCGCCCCCCCCCCCAGTGGCACAGCGGAATGTATGCGGACTTACAACACTAGAATCCGGGTTTCGATACTCGTGGTGGGCAGAACACAGATAGCCCATTGTGTACCTTTGTGTTTAATTACAAACTTTTGGTTTTCCGGGTTAAATTCGTTCTGCAGCAACTGGTAAATTCGACAATTTGGATATTATCATTAACATCTACTCAAATCATGGATAAGAACTAAAAATTAACCCACTAAAGAATATATGTAATTTAATATTCAGTTCTTGGTTGTGGTGACTAGAATCCATTGATTCATCATTTGAGTATCTTTATTTACTGCTAGCGATATATTCGGCCATAACCCCAGAAATATATCACAAAGTCGGCCAGCTTAAGAGATTTAGATTATTTGAAATTCATATACTAAACTACCATTACAAAATAATATGCCCAAATACCGTTGTCAAAATCAAATTAACTGCAGATGTCCTTGTTTCATATTCCTCTCAAATTGTCTACTGCGATTTAAAATCACAGGTGTGTACAAGTAGCATTAAAAAATCTATCTTTTGTCTGCCATAAATCGCTGTTCAAGAAGCCTTTCGTTCAATTTCAGAACGCATCATTTGGGCTGGAAGATGAAAGACAAAAGACTGTATAATATATATATATATACAGTCTAATGCTTTAATAGTTATGGTTTAAACACCGAAGCTGACGAAATATTGAAAACAATAAGTCCAAAACCTGTTATAAAATCAAGTTAACTGCGAATGTCCTTTTCTACATTCCCCTATATTTGTTCACAGCGGCTCAAAATGAGAGATGTGTAAAAATAGGATTTTAGATAATACTCATAAAGAAAAATAACAAAATACAGAAATTATACATACATATATATATTAAACATTTTAACCAATAATATTAATGAAACTAAAATTAAATAAATAACAGAATTGCACTTACCTACAAAACACACAAACTACGTGTTTGCTTCATGCATTATCACCGATTCCCAGTCCTTTGAAAATCACGACACCATTATACGTAAAACTTTTTATAATATTCCCTAAAAATTCTAACAACCAATGAAACCTATTAAACAGTTCCGACAGTGTAACTTTAAAGTAGCTTAAACATTTAAGAAATATTACAATGACACGAGTTACTGTTTAACTAAAGAGTCGTGTAATGGGAGGATACAGATAGTGCATCGAAAATCTAATATTTTACGAAAACAAAAAATAACAAATTAGATGAATAACAAAAGTATGTAAAATATATTAAAATATGATAGTTTAATTAAAATAGCAAGATAAATAATTTACTAAACTACTTTGAGCTGCATTTAACACAATTAATCCAACTTTAATTATACCTAAATAGTTCTACAGTACTAATATTCATTACGCATCTATTTTCTAACAGCTCTCTGGGGCCGCCATGCTTGGTACTGGTATATATTTTTTGGTCGACACGGACAAAGTTACCTTATATCGGCTGTTCTACACTGACGGAAATTACGCTCTAATACACTACCTGGCCTATGCTTTGATTGGAGTTGGGGGGCTTGTGTTTGTCGTCGGTTTCTTTGGCTGTTGTGGAGCCGTTCGAGAGAGCAAGTGTATGTTAGTCACGGTAAGGGTGAACCTTCAGTTTTCCTGTCCAAATGACGTTACGTTGTCATTTACCAGCAAATCGAAACGACAAAGGAAGTTTTGCGATATACTTTCAATACATATAACGACAAGTGAAAATATACAGGTGGCATTGTCAGTATTAACCTGTGACATACCAATACATTAATGTAAGGACATTAAAAAACCTAGAAGCTCTTAAGTCAAGACGTTTAAAAAAAAACTTGTGTTTTATATTTTTCTGATGCCAGACAATTTATATTAACTGTTCAAAAATAAGTATTTTCAAGGGATTTCATATTTCAAGAGCCATCGTCAAGTTTATTAACGGTTAAATAGTTTGTGTGTGAGAGAGAGGGAGGATTCTAAAGCCAAAGAGAGTTTTCCAACCTTTAAGCTATAACATTGATTGTTAAATGACATCACTTTAAAATTTAGTTATTTCACTTTTGATTCTTTTAAGTTAAGTTTTATATACTAAAGTTGTCGGTTCATAGGTACAGCTAAGTTCAATGTAATGTTTTCTCATTGCAACTAAATTTAACATAAAAACTTGTTCTTTCTGGATGAGCTCTTAATTGAAGTATCTTCTGATAGTACGTTATTGGTTTTCTAGTATTTCGTCTTCCTCTTCCTTATCCTTGGGTGCGAGACTGCAGTGGGAATTCTGGCAGTTATATTTCAAAATAAGGTAGGATATCTCTGTTTATGTGAATTGTTTTATCTATTACGAAAGTGGGCACCTTGAATTTCTATTTAATTGAGAACTTCGAAACATCCAAAACGTCAAATTATACAAGGGCGTAGGCAGAAATATATAAAAGAGGAGTGCTACTTCTAGAGAAAACGAACGAATGGTGAAACCATACGGGGGGATATGTATATATATATATATATATATATATATATATAGTAAGTAAGTAGTAGTAGTAGTAGTTTCTTTACGTTTATTTAGTTAGTACTTACTTAGTTAACGAAAGAAACTAATAATAAGTAGGACGAGAAGGAACGGTAAACGG